CTATTCATGCTAATTCAGAATAAATCTTTAGCTAAGCAATACATTAGGTCATTCCATTAGTAGTACTGTTTTCTAACACTAACTTCCGATGTAAAAAGTTAATACTTGCATTTCTCATTCGTATCAATCAAAACCTTCTCCCATTTTTCGAGTAATTTCTTAACGACATATTCGAAAGGATATTAATATTTTATAAACTAAGATCAGAAACGACATTGCTTATAAGATGACCTAATACCAACAGCTGTAAATAATAGAAAGCAAAAAATTTTCCACGTAAAAAAATATTCCTGAGGAACGACATTGCTTACAAAATAAATTATTGTACAGTTTTATTAAGACTTCGTCATGAAGTACAATGAGCGACTCTCCGCGCAGCGAAGTACCCATTCGAAGCAACTCTGTATAGTAAAATACACAACGCGTCACGTAAATTTAAAATAACAAATTGACGCTTATCTTTCGTTTGTTTTTTCCCCGTTCTTCTGTGCAGCGAGACGATGAGACACAAAAGGCAGTAAACCTGACGGTGCGGGAACGGAGATTTATAAAATTTGCATCGGTGGAATATGACGGGCAACTGTACATGACGCCCCAGGACTTCCTCGACAGTGTTGTTGAACCCGAACCCAGACGTGAGTATTAAATAAATTTGCACGGTCAGCAATAGCGACGTCTGTCCGTGATAATAACTCGCTTTGTCTTTGACAACGAATGCCCTCGTAATTTGAAGCAACGTATATTAATGACGCACATTACCGTGCGATCTCGTGGAGCAAAGGTAAAGCACCTGAAGAATGAACGGTGGTGCTTATAATTCGTCATGAAATATGAAGCTTTTGAAACAGGGGCGATGTCTTTGATTTTTAAAAATGTTCGTAATTTTTCAAAAAATCTTTTTTCGTAATTTTTCATAATTATTAGAAAGATTTAACCTGTCAACTGTGGAATTCAGTTTCGAAACTCTCGTTTTGCGCGTAATAAAATCAAAAAATGAACTGTATACTCGTAAGACGCAGAACGAATACATCTAGGATATATCTTAATGAAAAACCAAAGCAGAACGAAGAAGAATTACATGTTTATCTGAAAAAATAAATAATTCATCGTTGAAAGAATTAGTAGCATTTCAAGTTTTAATATGGCGTGTATACTCGTCGAACGCAGTTAACTAGTTAAGTGATAGTAAATGAACAAGGTATGACAATCTTAACAAATCGAATCAGAAAGTGCATATTTACAACATAATACTTATTCCTCTTATTTATGATATCATTCACCGTTTGCTTAAAAATGCTCGCTACAGAGAACAAAGGAAAATAAATTACCACTTCACATCTACAGAAATCACAGAAGTTTACAGTAGAATTACGGAAACAGTTAACTACTAAAAGAACAACACAAAACGAGTATGTAATAAAGTGGGTACCTATATACGTTCTAATATAACGCACTCTCCGAAAACACAATATAAACCTTGAACAGCTGTACTCGCGTTACTTCCTTGCACGAACTCGTAAAGTACACAGTGTCGTAAATTTTGCGGTCATACTTCCCGTATTGTCATCTATTTTTATCGCTACGATCATACACAGCACATACCGGCCACTCAAAAATGGGATACTTCGATAATTATTCACTTGCATGGAAGTTCTCGTAAATTATAAAACCTAGGAAACTTCCCAGTAAATCGAATCAATGTTATCCCGAAGTATTTTTATTGCACACGTCGGATCATTTACGGAATAATTAACTCTTTTGCTACAATGAACGAGATATCTCGTCGCCATGATGTTGTATGTACAATGCTACGGACGAGATATCTGGTGTACCTTTATTATTGATATGAAGTGTTTTATTTGAAAATTTGACACAATTAATCGATTTTTAAGTCATGTCATCGTTGATGGAAGGTGCTTAAGGATGATAAATATAAATATACCGAGCAGTTAAATTGACTTTTTAAAATTCCTTTACAACAACTTCAAGAGTGCACCTATCGAGACTTTAATTGATTTATAATTCAGTTCACGTATTGCTAAGTCAGTGTCTTTAATAATTTCTCAGAGAAACGTTTGTTATCTTTTTAATAATCGCAGAATGAAAAAATCAATAATGAGTCAGTTTGACCCGTCTGATTGTTTTAGTGTTAAAGTCGATTTTTTTAAAAACGAAGTCCCAAATGAAAAAGTTTTATTCTATATTTTCGACTCATTTTTTGCAAAGAATCAGCTATCCGGTTGTTCTACCAGTTACATGACACCCTATATGTTAACGAGACTCGAAGATACGATTATTATGGGCCATCGGCCCTTATTCGAACAACGTGTGATTCCGTGATAGGCGTTATTGCCCGACAGCGACCAGAAAAACGACTGTTTTTATCAACACTAATTACCACAGATCTCCTTCTATTACTGAATTTAACCATTTACGAACGAATTTATTAACTGGCCATCGAAAACTGATGAAATTATAAATTCCATCAAGCAAGACGGAAATTAATCTCTGTATATGGAGACGTTTCGAATCCGGTTCCATTGGCTCTGCACGATTAAATAATGATTCAATTGATTTGTAAGACGCTGACAACATATTCTCGCCGATGAATGTACGGTTAATGTATACATTCTCGTATTTTCCTGGCAAAAAGAGTTTGCTCTTTCAAGCAAAAGAGGATTTGGTTTTATTTTCCGGGATATTTTATTTTAATGAAGTGCGTTGCCACAGGATCCGTTTTCTCTTGGCGAACTGATTAACTGTACAAAACGAGAAGTGAGGAATGTTGATAAAATTTCATATACTAATTTTTATAATTTAAAATGTACATACAAATTAATATTGTGGAATGTGTTATTATACGTACAGTTTTATCACAAAATCTAGGTAGGAAGAGGGTAAAAATATAAAATACTTCAATTGATCGTTATCATTACAATTTTCATATTTAAACATTAAACAGTTTTTTTTATTGTGGAAAGATTAATTTTCATGTATTATTTATTTAAGGATTTTACACAAACACTCATTTATTTATTCTATTACTTTTGTTTATTGTATATATGATCAGATTTCATTATTATTACTGTCATTATCAATGAAAAAAATGTTCTCCTTTACTCATAATTGCACAAGCAGGCAGATGCAATTAAATAAAACATACTATGCTCTTTCAGGAATTTAAGCAATTTCCCTTCCCAGTTTTTCATGTACATGTGTCAGAACTTTGTCAGAGTTTTGTTTTTTATGTCATTTATATCAGACCTAACAATTTAATCAAACCACTTAATCGTCACTACTAACATAAATAAGCAATTCCATAAAAAATCAGCAGTATTATTGCATTGGTTTAAATACTATATCAATACATACTGTTAATTCCATTAACTTTAAAAATACATTACTTATTATTCCACTGTCATAAGAAGTATTTTAACACTTTAGTGTTAAAATTTGACAAAAATTAAAAAATGCAATTACTCACTTTGTCCTGGAAATGCGTCATATGTTGGTCCATATAAAAATAATACTGATTTCGAGTAAACTTTCCTTTGGCGCTTTGACGCACATGAATCCCCAGCGTAAACTGGGAATGACGACGCATTGAAATCACTATCCCTTGATCAGCCATCCCTGAAAAAATAAGTGGGTATCTGTGATATTCCAGCGAGACTAAAAAGGCGCGTGTTAACTGACAAGGAGCTCGAAGTGATGAGAAATTCCATCCCTTTGCTGCGCCAAGGAAGTCCACATATGTTCAGAAACTTGCGGGACAAAGGTAAGCATTCGAAATATTTTTAACCGTTGACATTAATTTTTAACCTTTAACCCTTTCGTCCCGTACGGTACCACCAACATTTGAAATTATCGGATAGCTAGAAAACGCTTTAATGATAAAGGAAAATTGTACCACATGGGGATCTTTGCTTATAGCTGACAGCTTAAGTGCTACTTAGTATCATTAGTGCATTTACTTGTTTCACTGAAAAGCTTCAATTTCATTTGAAAGCAGCTGTTCATGGCTCTTTCTTTAACTTAGGAGGAAAATACATATTCAAGGACGAAAGGGTTGAAGGATCACAAAGAAAATCAACGCAAAAGAAAAGTAGTCCAATGGATCTATGTATGAGAATGTTTTTTTAGTTTTAAAAAAGTGTTTATGTGCTTCTGTTATACTGGGTTGTGACTCTGTATATGGACATTTCTGATCTTTTAAGGATTAAATCATATAGACTATTGGTAGATTTTGGAATTAATATGTTGATTTCGAAGTTAAAGTTAATGTTTAATTGTTCTTGACTTGGAGATATTTTCAGCCTGAGATTACTAATGGTAATTGTGACTGACAATTATCAGTGACCAATTATAATTGAATATCAATTTTATGTAGGTTTAAATAACTACAGTTACATGTGTATATACTCATTCGATAGCGGAGTTCTATGCAAATTTATATTTTTATACACTATTTTATGAAAAAAAGTAAAAAGGTTTTTATTTTCCCAGCCAAGAAATTCTTTATAGTTTAAATTAATTAGAAATGATATTAATGTTATTCAATGCAAATATTTTCTTGTAGTTTATACATCTCAATATATTATAAATGTACAAATATTCTCAGTCTAATAATGAAATATATAAATTACAAATACAAATATAAAAATTTATATATAAATGTAATTAAAGACCAAATATAATTACATTCCTTGCAATATAATTTAATTAAAAGTGATTATAATATTTGAAAAAAAGTATCTGTATTTATAAAATGGTTGTAAACAGCAAATAATACTGCTTTGTATATCCTTTACCAAAGTACATTTATCTTATAAAAAGTTAAAATAAACATGAGAACAGTTGAAAAAAATAAATTGTTGATAGAATAGGTGGTTAATTACTGCAAGCAGTTAAGAATTTTTCTCCAAAAAATTTTCTTATATAATTAAGAACAGAGAATGTAGTTCACATTCTAGCCGTAGATAATTCATTTTTTACATCGAATAGTTTTTCGAATATGTTAAAATTCGAATCTCGTATTAAACATTAGCAGGGGCTACATTCTTTTTGTATCCATAGAAATTGTTATTTATTCCAAGAGACAAGAAAATCCAGCGAAAATATATTGTCCCTTTAGGTAATGCATGCGATTGCTATTCCATCTTACTGTTTTGCATTTAATCGCTTCAGTTAGCATCCAATTACCTACATAAATTAAAGTACGGAAGAACATGTACTTATACAGGGTGCCTAATAATTTCCTAACTGAATTTTCTTGGTACGTGCCTATTCAACGTTCAATTGGAGAGCTCAGATCCGCGTACAGCGCTGCAAACAATTAAATACAAACAGATGTAACATATAAACTAACGAAGAAAATATAATCACACTTTCCAACGATTGAAACAAAGATTTTATAGAAAACAATATCATACATACTTACAAAACTTCAATACTAGAGTTAATTTGATTACCACAAAATAATTTTTACTAAATATAAATAATATTTTATAACATAGAATCTCCTATCCAAACGGACTATTTATTAAATATACACACACGCATACTTTATATTAAATAAACCCTCGTTACCATAATACTAAACAAAATAGGCACCAAACATCATCAAAATATTCAAAACCACATCCGAGTATCCTTCCTCCCTCAACCTCTTAGCATATATCTACATATTTCCTAATAATTCGCGAACAAGACAGGTCAACGTCATTTTCTCAATATTCTTACAGAGATACACGCGTCCACTTCGTTCCTTTCATTCATTTTCTGGTTTTGCGTCAATTTGTGTCAAGTGTCAACGAGACACCTTGTATAGCACTAAATCCAAACTCGCATGCACCCGGCTAAAATTTCCGAGCGATCGTTGTTTCTATACGAGCGTCCCGATGGCCTCGAAAATTACCGGCGGAGCAATTAATCCCGCCACCCCTGGCGACGATCAAAATAACAGGTCCGTGTCGTTAACGAGTCCTCGTAGTAGCCGTTCGGCCCTCTTCCTGGCTTTTTGCGCGTTCACCGCACGTTTGTCGCGCTAATGGAAATGCAAATAATCGGAGCCAGTTTCACACTTCCCTCTAATAAACGAGCGCCGTCGCCCTCCGCGCATACCACTTTCTCTTTTTCTGCGGCTCGGCGCAGCGCGGTGGAGATGCGTCCGCGAGCCAGAATTTCACGGTCGAACATACGAGCCTAACTTGATCTACTCCGGTTTAAGGACATTCGTTACGATTATAGGACACAAAACCACTAGAGGCTAAGGTAGAAAGCGTCTTGTTACCAATATTGGTTCGCTTCCACACGCGATGTATATTCGGACCGTAACTACCCTAGGATACTTCCTTATTGCCCGACCACACTGCGGCGTATTGAAACGACTCATGGAATTTTGCTGAACGAAATTTCGCCGCGGAATGATCCACCTACGATCCACGTTGGGACCGATGCGTTCTATCGCGAAATGAATTGTGTAAATGTTCGAGGTAACAAAACAAACTTGGCCGTCGTGGTTATTGATTCCGTGTATGTGGATTCCGGTTAAGTGGAGAATCATTTGACATGCAAATGTAATGGTACTCATTTTCTTGATGAATATTCTTTAAGAAAAGGGAAGATTTTACTGTAATTTGAAAGAAGGTTATAATAAATGGATTTTGAGTAATTATAATAATAATCTATGCACATAAATCTATAGACAGGAAAACAAAAATACCCAAATTTAGACACCCCAAATTCTGCTAAGTCAAGATTAAACATCTTGAACCTAAATTTAGACACTATCTGATCTGGAAACTTCAATTTGGGCTTAGACCAGATTTAGATCTATGGATCCAAAGCCGCCCACACTAAAGTTTATAAATCTAGGATTATCTAAGACGATTTTAGGTTTGATGTTTAAGTTAGCATTTTTGAGTTCGAAAATACTAAAGTTTAAAAAATCAAGTCTTAAAAGTATACACTGTCAAACATCTACGATAATTATATAAACTATACACATAATTACAAGCTCAACCCTTCGTTAATTTGTGTTTTCCATCCTTCATTTAATCTATTTTGAATCTTTCAAGGTTAACTGATTTCAAACTTTCAAACTTATACGACAATGCACTTAATCTTCCAATTTCGTTTTCGTATTAAAACATTCAGCAATATCTTCAACAAACAATACTCACGGTATTAACTTCTTATCTCTTTCACAACTGTGCTTGACAAAATTACTGGATTAATAATTTAGTACAAAAAGAAAAGAATCTGATGCTTATTCTATGTCTACGTTTATCCTAAAAATAAAAGAGTAACATTTACATTTGTCAAATTCAATTGAAAATTTTCATCACGAGTCTAACTTGATATTACAGGAGAAGGGGTTAGGTACACTTTCCATATTTATAAATCAACATTTCCTTCTGTGTTATTACTTCGCCACGGAACATACTACCCAACTTCTTTCTCTTTTACCGTCAACGTCTGATCAAATCTCCCATTCCGTGGAAATAAACGAAATTAACCTAAATAATTGTCAGTCGAAAAAAACGGGGTACGACATCTCCGGTTCCTCTGATGTTCACCGACGCCGCGCTCAGAATAACTTCATCCCTGGTGATTTAATCCGAAACGGTCTTGCTGACGAGGGAAACGTGTCGTCAACGGCGGTGCTTTTACACGGTCGTATTCTACCAGCCATTTCCCTCGGTTTTTCGCTTCGTAAACTTTCCCCGGGCTCGTGAAAGCGTTTTATAGAGTGCTTATAGCGCAATAAAATCGATTTTACGTCGGCAACAAAGCTAAAGCACGCGAGACTCCCGCTCTGCGGAAGGGAAATTTAGGTAACACGAGAGCCTCCTGAGCAGTGCCGCGGATTAAGACTGAGTTATTAGTCTGTTCCCCGGATCGCGAGGAAAAAGGGATGCCCGAAAAATGCCTAGAACTCTATGAGGCGTAGCTAATGCAGATCGTCCCGCCTTTCCTAGTCGTTTTCTCTCATAAGTGGTTACGGTCAAGGTTAACGTGATTATGGGGAAAATTAGTGCGGAACTTTGTCGCCTTGTCGTCGTAAACAAAACTCGGTTACCACCCACGACGTGATACATCATTTCCTCGTGAATGGATCCTAACCCTCGCTCAGTGAACGAGGGGCCGTTTTGATGCAGGAGTAGTCGTTGGCGTATTTACGGATTTTATGTACTGTTAATATGATATGTAAAATGTGAATTTATATTTAGCACTAGATTTACGGGCGTTTATTGTACAGTTTATTCTATTGTTCCTAGAAAACTAGATATTCGTCCATTTAAAGTTTGAAATTTGTAGATTTAAAAATAGACAATCAGAATGCATATTCGTGTAATTGGATCAATCGAAACCGGCTGAAACAGTTAACAAATAATGTTTATAAAATTCAATGTGCGTTAAATTGACGCGTTCCGTAAACCTAGTGTTAATATAATTATAATATGTAATCGGTGGTAAATAATATGTAGTTACATATCATTTGTTAATTTGTTTACGTGATTATACACATGTGACTGTAGTATACGCATATGTAGTTACATAAAAGTATATAATATAAAATTTAATGTCTTATTCCGTCTTAAAATTTGAGTACGTGTTAACTTAAGAATGAGTTGTTGCAACAAATTTATATGAAATATAAATAGAAAATATTTATAGTAAATATAAATATTTAGTTAATGATACGTAAATATATAAATATATTTGTATAATTTTTTACTTCCATAATCATACTTTTTATAAGTGTAATATTTATTTAGTTATTTTAGATGGAATATTTATTATTTTACATCTGCAAATAATGTTCGTGAAACATGTTTTTCTGTTACACAGTATTATAAAAATATCGATGTAAGTGGTAATTGTTGTTTCTATTATTTTCAGGGATTATTTCTTATACGGAGTATTTGTTTCTCTTGTCCATTTTAACCAGTAAGTACTCACTTATTCCCTCATTAAATAAATTACAATAATAATGTGTGTATATATTCCTCTAAAAATACCGATTGAAGCACCGAAGTAACATAACACATTATTTTAGAACCCAATACAGGTTTCCGAATCGCGTTTAACATGTTCGACACTGACGGAAACGAACGCGTGGACAAAACTGAATTCCTTGTGGTAAGACTGTTGTTTTTAATTCTTTCGTGTCCGTAATAACTTCTTTGAAGTTTCAGATGTTTTGTTGATCACACATTTGCATGTATTTCATTAGGACAAAAAAACATAAAATGTATAGATTTTTAAATTATAACAAATATTTGCAAATCGTGACTTGGATATCATCTGGGTTAATTTTAATTGGAGTAAAAGGATTAAACTGTTACTTTAAATAATACTTCAATTTACTAAACTTTGTGATGCTATTTTGAATCATACTTTAAAGTTTCTTTCGTATGTTAATGATATAAGCTTAGATTTTATATAAAGATACCTTCACTGCATAAAAATAACTATAATTATAATAAATAACAACTTCTAACGTTAGAAATATTCAAATTGAAGTATGTTTAATAATGTGTAAATAGTACGGAGTAATATTTTTTATACAAAATGATAATAAACAATATTCCGAATATCATTGGCATTGTTGTTTTAAAAATGCTCAGATGTATTTAAGTACCGATATCTGAAACGAAAATCCTAAACGAAGATTTTTCACATTACAGTAAAAAGCATTGCTGAATCAGTTTCAGGATTTATTCTGTGCACGCTTCATGAGTCATTTAAATATCACGAACAGAATTAAAAATTTTACCTAATATTTAATTTAGAGATTTAGTGCCAAGTGCATTACGTGTACGCTTTATATGCACTTTAATTTATTTATTGCTGTGCCATTTTTAATTTATTTATTATTGGCCTGATTTTAATGATGTATGATTAATAATCAATATAATTATTTGGTATTTGACATATCAGTAAAATCAAATGCATAATCAATTAATTGATTAAACTCTTTTTGGTTTAATGTAAAACTAATATTTTAAGTTTACTATAATTTGTTTTGTTTTTAATTACTGAATATTAAACAACTGCATTATAAAATATTTAATTTCTTAAATACTGGTGTAATTGAAAGTACATAATTTCTAGAAGAAAGACAAAATTTCTATCAATCAGAAAATTACCATAACAGAACAAATTAATACTTACAAAATTGTTAGCACCTTTTTAATAAATTAATTGATTTCATAAACAAAAATTGAGTAAGATTTTTAACTTCTATAAACAAAAATTCTTCATTAAATTTTTTAATTCTCCCATATAAGAATACAGTACTATGTACACCAACCAATAATTTACTCAAAATTTAATTTTCATCTACACAAGGAAAACTAAAATAACACTACAAAAATTTATCTATTAATAATAATTGTGACTACTTTTTTTTATAATGTATAACGTAATAAGCAACAAAACGAAGGGGACGTGAGAATTTTTGTGGTGACATATTCGTGTAACTAAATTTGAAATTAGGAAAAAAAGAAGAAACTGCGCTACGAAGAAGATTGTGCGACGCAATGGTAATAGTGTTTATCCAATTTGCACGGCGACGTTTGTAATTTTCACAGATTCGACAACTACTCGGTGGCACACTGAAGCAGCGGCGGCTCGACGAAGAAACTAAACGTGCAGTGAGTTTTCGCATACTCGTGAACAAAGAAAAGAGAATCAAGATCGACGCTAGTTTCAATTAAAAGTAGCGCGATGATTCATTCTAATCGCTTTCAAAAGCCCACGACGGCTTCGCCTTTGACACCTAACAGACTTAACACCGTAATTTACAAATCCCTTAACGGTATATAATTATTTTATATCCACCGTAATATTTCTCTCTCCCCCCTCTCTCTCTCTCTCTTTGTGTTTTGAAACAATCTATACTCTGACGTTAATTAATTTTGTTTACAGAAATCAAGACTAAAAGTTTCATACTAACGATTAGAATTTATAATAAAATTTAAAATATCGCATTTCGAATTTAAAAAATTAACAATATTTCTAAAAAACAGTTTTAAATTGCTAATGATAAAGCTTGTTTCTTTTTTTCTTTCTGTACTTTTTTCTATTATATTTTTTGTTATTATTTTCTACAAAATCTTTTGTTATTCATTTACGCTCTTTTGTTGTTTCTTCCTAATTTTCGTCCTTCTGTTTAGTTTAGTTGCTTAGAAGTGTTTTAGTTTTTACTGTGCCGTTTATCCGTATTTTCATTTCTATTTTCGCTTTATCTATTTTGAACATAAGAGCTTATGTTTGTGTATCACACGGAATTTTCTTCATTTCGTTCGTTATATTCGATATCCAGCTGATTGATACTTTCTATTATTTATTTGAATGTGTTAGTTGAATACCATATACACACCGAATGGGGAATTCGTTCGTATACCAAAACTTCGTAACAACTATCAGGGAAACGAGAAAACAGAAATTGTCTCTAATTCTTACGTAAGTTTTCTATACATATACGCAAACGTGTGTACGTTGGTTTGTTTTTTACTTTTCTTCCCTCTTTATTTTTTACTTTTTTTCTTTAAGTTTTGTGCCGCCTCTTAAATTCTCTTACGATTTCAATTACTACGATTTCTTATTGTTTGCACACGACAATAAAAGACTTTTCGAAAATATACTAAATGAACTTTAACCTAATAATTAATAATTATAATTCACATTAATAATTTATATTAATATTTATTGTATTAAAAGTACAATGTTATTGTGTAATGAATAGTTTTATTCACCGAAAAGATAATTGAGATTTACTTCATTAATACGTCAGTATTACAACTGTATGAAAAATAATATCCTTTAACCATTATCAGTTATCACTTAATCATAATTAGGAGACGACATTCTTCATTCCATAATTAAGAGTCGTAATAATTAAAATCGTAGCACATTGTCCGTCTTAACCACATATAATTAATTAACCACAGTTTCTTTGAATCGTTAAATTTTTGTATTAATAAATAACTTACTAAACATAATAAAGTTTGCAATAAGTGTTTAGTAAACATTGAACTTCGTTTTAAATAATAAACACATAATTTAATTTCCCCAGTTATCAAGATTCACTTAAATACTTTAAATGTATGATTCAATTAAAATAATGTTAAATAAATACATGCTATTTTTATATTTTTTTTTATGTTTAAACTCTAGACACAACGATTAACAAAACTGGAATATAAAATTCATTCATATGATACGCAGCCAATTTATTATTTATTTATGAACAAAGCATATTTCTTAGTCCAATTCTTAATATCGTAAAACAAAATCTTTAATAAACATTCTGATTATAAATATATAAATACAAGTTCATTTTTATGAGATTGTTTAGGTAAGTAACAATTAATTCTGAGCCTGTAACTGGGCAAATAATTCTAAGAAGAAAATTGTATGAGTCATGGTACCATAATTTTGTAGAAGTGTATACGATTATGTAGAGTACGAATTTACATATACTTCGATTACTTAGTGCATCAATAAGTAATCCATCATTTTTTAACAAAATTAATATTCTTTTTTATTGTATTCTATTGCGTCGAACCAAAAAATACTATAAAATATTAAATATAATATATATTATCAGGGAATTAAAAATAAAAAGTAGTGAATTACTTGTTAGTACACAAAGAATGATACGTGTGCGTTCATATTAATCACTGCTATGCTAACTCTCCTGGCATTTATTTCAGACCCATTAGCACTGGATGCTGAAATCATTGCTGCCATTTTGCCTCTGTATTATGCAAATCCATCTGTATGTTTTATTATAAAGGTTACACCTTCGATCGAAAAATAAAAGAGAATTCTAATCATTTTTTCCTTCCCCTCGTGTTACGTGCAGATGGAAAAAGTGTTCAGCCACACTTGGAGAGGGCGCCATGGCACCGAGACCAAAGAGAACTTGGAACAATTAATCGAGAGACAAACCTCTCCGGAAGAAATCCAAGTTCAATATATTGATGACGAGCAGGTATGTTTTTGTTGTAATTTAAAAATGTTTAATAACTTTATTAAATTAATTTTATTATTAATAATTTGGGCGAACGTAAGAAAATCATTTGTTCACTGTCAATACACAGTTACTCTAAAAGTAAAACATAAATAATAGTAAAATAGTCTTTTATTTATAAATTGAAAGAATATTTAATACAATTATCACTTTGGAAAATTATACCAAAACATTGAAAATATATTGTTCATAACTATGTATCTAGAAGAAAAAAGAATGAAAGCTACCATTGTTTCAATGTTTAATGTTTAAGTCAATTAAATATCAGTTTATATTTCTATAATAATATTAAAATTATAATTTATAGACATGCAAGACAAAAGTCATAATAAAAATTAATTTGTGTACTTACTACATAACATTACCAACAATAGACTCTGATCTGCAGGGACTGTGCCACCTATCTATTAACTTACGCCCACCAGAGCCAGATCATTTTGATCTGGCTGTCGCAACACTTGACATCACGTAAACAATAAAGTATCTATTACAGTAGAATGAGGATATGGAGTATGTGTTCTGAATGAATTGTAAACATGTATTTTATCGTCATTATTATACATTTTTCGAAAACATGTTTCCGTAAAGTAACTAGAAAGAAATTCAATAAACATCGTTTAATACGACAAGTAGGACTTATCTTTACTACATTTACGAATGAATGATATACGCTTTGAACAAATGCAGCTGGCGGATATATAAAGTAGATTATAAATTAGAGAAAGTAACAATGATAAAAATATTATCATTTTATGATGTTATAAGAGAACTGCGACTTCTAGAAGTCTGGCATCTAAATCCGAATCGTAGAAGTAGAGTAGTCCAAATAATTCGAGTTGTAGAAGTTCTCTATTTCGGATTTAGGAATTTTTATAGCTAAACTATGTAACTAGTATTGTTATTACCGTAGGGAAGTGCATAAACATTAGTTGAATATCAGAGTTATATAGTAATAGCTTCGTTATTAGCTAAGCATAGTCATTATCAACAATACTATCATTATCAGTGGTATTAAATTATATCATCTATACTACCTCATTTACAAGTTTTCATAATTATCTATAGTAATTGTAGTAATAGATGTATAATTTTAATTAATATCAATTAATAAAAACACACGAAAAAATTTACAGGGTCTGCAACGACGACACGCTGTAGATACAACATTAATGATACATTTCTTTGGGAAAGATGGTAATATTGAGCTGAAGTACGAAGACTTTAAACGTTTCATGGAAAATCTGCAGCAAGAAGTGCTTGAGCTTGAGTTTCATGAATTCAGTAAAGGTCGCGAAGCCATCACTGAAATGGATTTTGCTAGAATTTTGCTACGATACACTTATCTTGACACGTACGAGTAAGTCATCCTTTGTATTAGATATAATATTTTAATGATTTTAACAATATTTAAATTTTTTATTTATTTAATATTTTAATATTTATTTTAAAAGAAGTATTAATCTATTAATAGTTAACTATTTTAATGAGTCTATCTCCATTTGTTTAATTATTTTAAATTTTAGTGACAAAGTATTTATATAATTGTATATAATATAATTTCACCAATCCCCTCAACTTTTGTTTTATACTTAATCACTTTAACAAATGAATGACTCCCTAAGTCAGGGATTCCCTTATATAATACTATCTTTTACATATGAATAATATTTAATTAAAGATTGATGATTTTATCATTTTGTATTTATAGATATGACAAATATTTGGATCGGATCTTACAGAACACAGAACTTCAAACTGGCATTACGTTTGATGAGTTTCGACGTTTCTATCAATTCTTAAACAATATCGATGATTTCTCGATAGCTATGCGAATGTATACATTAGCAGACCAGCCCATATCCAAAGGTATCAAAGTTTGATTCTTTCTCGAGATATTTAGAAGCTTAAAACAAACAAGTTACAGTTCTAAAATATGAATTTTGTCTGTATTTTAGATGAATTCCAACGTGCTGTAAAAATCTGTACAGGAAGTGTGCTTTCCGGCCATATAATAGATACAGTTTTCGCATTGTTCGACGAAGATGGCGATGGTCAGTTGTCCTACAAGGAATTCATCGTGATAATGCAGGATCGCCTTCACAGAGGTTTTAAGGTATCTTGTGAATTAATAAGTTATTTATGTATTTCTTGGAACAAGAAACAAGATAATTTAATTACTCTATTAATTTACCTCCTATATAGTAATAATCTTAATACGTTCCATTTATTATTTCTGTCACGAAATTCCTACTATTAAACTGAGTTATCGTGAATTTATGTTCAGTCATTTTATTGTTAAAAGATCACTAATAAATAATTCAATCATTTCTTTATCAGTATTATTTTAATATTTCTTAAACTCCTTATGTTGAATTTTCTATAAGAAGTTGAAGTCATTATTTAAATGCACTACCTTAAAAAGCTAATGAATTCAATTTTATCAGTATAATTTACTAACAAATTCATTAATAAATTTCTTCAACCAATAAAGTGTTAATTATAATTTTAATAATTTAAAACAAAATTGCCATCTTTACAATAATTACATGTATTTTACACATTGTACTGCATTCTATATTTACGTTATTATAGTAACTAATGAACGTTTGAAATTTTAATTTCGTTAATTTTTTTTTAACTTAACTGTTAATCTGTTAAACCTGTTACCTTAAAGATTTTAAATCACCAGAAACAACTTATGTCTGAGTACATGTAGAGAAAATATACTTCATACCAATAAATAACATTACGATTGAAATAAGTGACGAGTTAAAGCGTCTTTCCGGCTAACGGATTAAAAACATTAGATTTATTTATACATGTACACACTGGTATGAATTTTGCTTTTCCTCGTCTTATCTTGCTTCACTTTCGTTGGTTCTCTCTTGAACGTTTATTCCTGAATGACGGGAACTGGATTCTTCGGAAGTACTTACCTTGTTAAAGATTTCATCTAGCTCTCCATCTTATGGTGTCTAACTTAAGTTGTTAATTATGTATATTAGATCTAATGAGAAGACAGATGGATCTCGGGAAAGTACTGTTATATCTCGCTTCTCGTGATAACTGGTAGGATATGAAACTGGGTTGGTGATTTATACTTTTTGCACGACAGTGTGAACTCACGTTGATTTTTGTTTAAGTTCATTTGAAACGTATAAATACATACGAATAATAGTGTGTTTTCATCTTTCCCATGCATGGAAAAGAAGTAGAGCAAGTTTTGTTATTAAATAAAATATCGTTTCCTAGTCAAATATATTTCTTCTTATCTGATTAAACGTACAAAAATATTCTTATATTTTTTATAAACATGCATATGTTCACTTTCTACGAATTTTGAAAATTATTTATTTGTAAATAATCTGACTTGCTCTGCAGATCCATTTTTCTATTGCTGTTTTTCAATCTTTATTGTGAAATATTTATTCCAAATATTATAAATAATGTGATAATGAATTTAATGAATTGTAAAATTGTAATCAACAGTTATTTTTTCTACTTACATAATTTAAATACTTTATTGTTATATATTTAGAACATGTACAGCTCTAACAAGAACATTTGCAAATACTTTTAAAAAAGTAAGCATTTGAATGAACATAAACATCTAATCATAAGCCTATATAAATATCACTCTAAAGTTGTTAAAAAAGGAAATCATTTTCCATAGTAATTTTTGTGATCAGTCATTTTACAGGATTACAGCTATCCGTTCATCATTACACATGTTACATATGCAAGAATGAAATACGCTAGAACGATGAAGAAATGAATCGAAGACATTGGAAGTACACGTACCTACCAAAAATGTCTGAAGTATAACAATATTCAAATGCTTATATTAAAAACGTAGCCCAAATATCTTAATTAAAACATTAATATACTAATGTTTCTATAAGAATCAATTGCACTGTGATTTACGTTTATAGCTAAAGTTTCAATTTTGTTTAATTTTTCCAAGTAATGAAGTTAATGTCACTTGTGATAAAATTCAAGTACACTGTATCTCACAAACCTACGCTAACTGAAACTTTCCAATCGCTTTGTAAGTTAATGAAAATAATGATATACGTATCAGATTAACGAATTTAATTACATTGATTTCTGAAATCAAGAAAAATTGAAAAAATTAAATATTGAATGGCTGTTTCTAAAAATATTAAGTTTGAGTTAGTGATCATTTATAACTGATTTTAAATGTTTGATGGGTAATGTATAAAATGACATTTCTTTAAATGAGCACGATGCATAAAATAATTAATGAAACATTTTTTATTATGTTTTACAGTCACAACAACGACGCGAGGGTTGGCAAGCGTTTAATGCCTGTGTGAAGCAAGAAATGAAGTCTCGTTAATTGGAAGAAAATGAAGATAGAGAAAGATGGAAATTCTAAGAGTAACTGCGCATAGTACTCAATAATATAAAGTGCCATATGGACGGCAGTCCTTTTTCAACCCCTAGTCTTATTACATTCTTCTCTATTGTGATATTTGCAGTTACCATTGCATTAAACATAAACCGCACACTCTCTACCTCTATTTAATATTTACTCATTTTGTTGCGTGTTTGTAACAGTGTGATTATTATGCTGCGTTTTGCACAGTTGTTGATAAGGCTAGTCCTGACAAAATAGATAATGACAACCGGCAGTCTTGCCCATTTGCTACAAACATATTAAAGAAAAATCTGTTGTTTTATTTATAATATATGAGTTATTGTTTATTGAGCATTTCAAATGTATAGTGTTTGTTCTGTTTAAATTAAAGATACATCAATATAAAAACTGTTTGTGTTTAATCTCCGAATAGTGTATATAATTAATATAGTTACTTATTTCACAAAATAATTGTATGAATATGTACTGTTCAGTTAGATGGATTAATGTACCAAAAGGAACGAGATTCTTATAGTACAAGTTTAATTATATAGTTTATCACTCACTGTACTAAATCGTTTGAATAATTATGCAGTAATTAAAACTCGATCAATACAATATTTTGCCAATTAAATTATCTAAAATGTGACATTCAATTAAAGTATAAAATATATACGCAATTTGACTGTAATAAATATTAGTGCATGCAAATGCATGAAAAGGAAAACATTTTAATTAATGTTTGACTTAATCTACAACGCTTAAGTTATAAATTAACTAATAACTATAATAATTGATCTATATTAACTCTAATTGGCTAAGTTATTTCATAGTTAATAATTAATTAATTAAAATAATTTGTTGTTATTGACTATTATTATCAAGTTGACCAAAAAGTCTTGTCAATTTACTTTTTAATGTGGCGTTTATATTACAACGATCCAATAAATATTACAAATAAGAGAACTAAAAGATAATAAAATACGCAACACATAATTCAATGAAGTTCATTTCAATGGAATAAAATTTTTCTTTTAACTTTGTTTAGAAACACGATGAGACTTTTAGATCAATCTAATAATAATTAATGAATCATATATATTAGTATTATTTATTAATAAACTTAGTTATTAAGTGACAACTATCAATTCTTATGCAATTTAATTCATTAACTAGTAAAGTAATTGAACATAACTTCTAAGATCTATGAGTATCTCTAACAGTCACGTCTCCGCGTGTTGTTTGTTATCACTCATCACACTGATTGCTGTCTGGTGGTCTCATGAATTAAGCTGACGATAAAGAACACGTCATTACTTGTCCTTACGGCCTAACATCAAACGAACTTCATCGCGGATGAGGTCAATGATACCACGAAAAGCTTCCTAGTTCCAGAATAATGAGTTCTGTCTAGGAATGCAATTTCCAAAGGAGTTATGGTGGTTCAACTTAATGCTCTATTTATCTGATTTAATTATTTAAACAACTTTCAAAGATAGAATCATTATGTGTATTTCAATGACAACGAAAAATACAGTATGTATTGTTTTATAATAAATACTTTGTGAAAAATTATTCTTCTGCTATACAAATTTTTCTATATATGATTTTTTATTATTGTTACTTTTAAAATAGTTTTTAAATTAATTTTAAAGCAGTATATGCACCCAGAAAATTTAAAATTTGACATATTTTAATTATTTTCTCAGATGCATAAATAAAATGAATCATTAGATTGATTTTTATATGAGATATATATATATACACATATAAATTATATATATCTCATATAAAAATCAATCTAATGATTCAACTATTGAAGTATTCATATATTATTTATATATGTATGTATATATGTATGTATGTATGTATATACATATACACATATATATACATTATGAAATAGTAATATAATAATAATTATAATAGTTATTAAATTATTAAATTGTTAAAAATTCAACAATTATTTCCAAAAATATTGTAATATTATGTATAATTTTAATTACAAAAAAGATTAATTTGTATGTAAAACATTAATGATAACTTTGAAATTTTGAAAAATGCGGTTGCTAAGAAAAAAATTGTAAAATAAAGTATATGGTCCTTCTTAAATCACAAAAATTCGTGTAGACGAGTGTGTGTCCTAAAATTTATACATCTAAAATTATCGAAATGGGTACAATTGTGTTTTCTTGTTATATTTTCTTGATTACAATAACAAGTTTCATGATTGGAAATCATTAGGGACAAACGTCATTTACTGACTAATTGTATCATTTTAAACAGTATGATGAAATTCAAGAAGTTTTTAAAATTTACAAAGTTTTCCATTATTTTTACCATAGTAATTTCAGACAGTAAGGTACATATGTAGTATTTAATTTGCAAATTACAAATTTTTGGATCTGTGTGAAAGGATTCTAACATTCATTATTAAATAATTCAACAATGCAAGGAAAAACCATCTTAATGTTATTAAAAATAAGATAAAATTTATTTTATAATAAACACTAATATTAATATCTGGTTTAGTGTTGAAAAAGAAAATTGAATTTTCTCAGAAAAATTTCGAAAGCTATTACAACTGTAAACATCACGAAGAAACAAACACACCGATGCTCGTTAAAGTCAAAAGTTGTTGTCAAAACTGAACGTTTCACAAGTGTGTCGTAGTTTGCCATTGACACGCGTTTCAGAAGTTCACCGGTTTGACTGGACATTGCACAATCTCTATGAAGATTGTTCAATTGCCTTTAAACTTCGCTTTATTATAACAATAAATAAATGCAAGAGCTCTAAGTTAGACAAAATTTAATACTTTTTATGTGTGGTCGACTTTACGTTTTTACGATTATTTAAAACAGTAGACAAATGTAAACTGTGTTGTATGTTTTATAAACTTGTGACATGAAAAATATAAATGTAGTACCGGTCGTAATAATTTGCCTTTAGGTTATTTTATTTTATTATTTATCGTTGACAATTTATCATGCAGTAAGCAGGTAAAGTTGAATATTCGATTACAAAATTGCTTTGTTTATGCAATAATAATTTTACATTAAGAGGAAGGATTGCGGAAATAATGGATGTGGAAGATCTAGACTATTCGTAAGTATATTATCACTGCAGATTATTGTATTTACTTTTAGTTATCTTTATAGAGCAACAGAATTTATCTACATAACAAACTCCATACTGATTTAATTTTTCCTTACTTAACTTCTCTTTATTTTAATTAAAAAATTAACCAATAGACTTTTAATTAGGCACTTATTATTTTTATCCGTAATAATTGTCCATACATTCCACATTTCATATATTTATGATAATCATGAGTATACGAATGTTCTTATTAACCACAGAGTTTATAAATTTGCTATAAAATTTGCTATTAATTTTCTAATTTACTTTTGTTACCAGAAACGAAATTTTTATTGAAAAATTAGAATTTCCATAAATTGTTCGTAATTTGCAATCACACTTCGTTAAAGTAAATACAGTCAACACTGGACAGACTGACATCGCAGTGAGAATGTTACGTAGTCAGGAAATTTAGAGATTATCTTTTTATGGAAGTAAAAATTATATTAAAAATGTTTCTTTTTATGCTCATGCGTGAACATTGCATTATCAATTGAATATATGTTATTAAAAAAAAATTAATTTATACGGTATATTTTAAAATGCTTTTAGGTTGTTAATTTTTCTTTGCATAGTATCTTAGACTATAAATTTAAGAAAATATTAGTAACATTTAATGTAAGAAAGTTTTATTAATGTTTTCGTTGTATTTCAATTTTAAAAAGAGTGAATTTAAAACAAAGATGTCAGCGATGACGATAATATGATAGCAACTCAATCTGATAGAAATTCAATAAATATGTATAATATATTAGCAGTGTTTATAATATTTATTCAAAATTAAATCAATCATACAAAAACAGCTAAACAAAACAAAAGCATTATCAAAGTTTAATTAAAGCATTGCTACCAATTAATTAGTAACATAAAAAGCAATCCCAAATAATGATGCTTATGTGTGCGTATAAGCAACGCAATTCAATCAAATTATTCAATATTTCATCTCTCATCGCCGCTAGTATCGTTGATTTACAATCAATATTGTAAATTCATACATTATAAAATAAACTAATTACTTCGATATCTTTAATTGTTTCCAACCTAAATTTCTTGTAATGTATCTCAATGTTTTACTTAATTCTTACATCTAATTAGCGTTAGGTCCTGCTTTTTCACTATATTAAATCTAGTTCGATATAGAATATATTAAATAATTGCAAACATACTATAACTCACCAATGTTTAAAAACAATTCTGAAAGGTGCTTAGCGCATCGTCCCAGTTGTAATCTTACGTAAAAATAACATTTTCTAAAGATAAGATTACTTCATATACTCGTTACTATATCGCAATTTGCATCTTTCTTAAAACAATCAGACATCTAATGATTTATAGGTAACAAAATACATAGAAAAACATATACCTTTGAGAAATCAGAATACAATGAAAGGAATTTCTTAATACTTCTTACCAAAGATTCTTACAAATTCACAAACATTCACAAAAGAGAAAAACGTAATTTTCAAGTTATTAAAAATATTATTAATTAATTAACACGTTGACCGCCACAAAAATTCAGAATATTACGTATAATATTATTTTTTCTTTCATAAAAAAGACAACAAGTAATGGGATTAATTATTAATAATAAGGAAATATCATTTTTAAGCTACACTATTATTCAGTTATTTATGATTGTAAATAATTTTATTCGAGATCAATTTTCTGTACTTACGTATTATACAGACTACCTTTATTTTCAAGGAATAAAATACTAATAACAATAGTAGTACTACTATTACTAATAGTGATAATACAAAATATTAATAACGTATTATAATATCAACACTAAAACTACCAGACGGATCAAAATGACCCACTCCTGATGTCCTCTTTTTCCAATTATTAAAAAGATAACAGATGTTTCTCTGAGAAACCATTAAAGAAATTGATTCAGCAATACACAAACTGAATTGTCAATCAGGTAAAATTCCAATAGATGCACTCTTAGAGTTTCTGTAGAGAAAAAGTCAATTTAACTGCTCAGTAGTTTTAGTGTTAAATAAATGTTAACCCAGATCCAACCCAAACGATTAATCACAACGACCTTCAGTCACAAAACAAAGATAATCCATATAACACGCAAGTACCAAATTTTATTTTAATTGTTTCCAAGCAATGTAGAAGTTGCGATGATCGGTGAGACTGTGGCAGTCAACGTGTTAATTTACTTCCGTACGATCCCTACTCTAAACAATGATGGCTTATCAAGCCCGCGGCGCAATATACATTTTGATGTCCTTGACACGGGACTAACAAAATTTTTTGTTTCCGTTGAAATGTCGAAAGGAACAGTTTGCGAGGACACAGCAGATTCGGCCAGGACATCGGTAGTGGGGCGGTGATCGTGCAAGGGATCGGTTTCGGTGGGAAAGCGAGACGGCAGCCGATCAGTCGCGTTGTCAGAAGTGTCAGAAGGAAGTGTCGCGGCGAGACCGACGCTCGTCACCCCGTCGTCAGTCGCGAAAAAGAAGCGGACCGGCACGTTCGGCGCTCATCGGCTAGCAGGCTCGCGATCGCGTTTGTCGCCTGCGCCACTGTACTCACCTGTCACCTAGCCGAGTTTTACCTACGCGCGATTGGCCGATGCGCCACGTGCGCGATGGGCATGATGGGAATGTTCAAGTGGCTACGAAAGTAAGTGTTTTCTTTTTTCGATTTATCCTTTACATTAAAACTACGAGCAGTTAAATTGACTTTTTGAAATTCCTTTATAGAAACTTCAACAGTGCACCTATCGAGACTTTAATTAATTTATCATTCAGTTTGTGTATTGTTAGTCAATTTCTCTAATAATTTCTCAGAGAAACATCTGTTGTCTTGTTAATAATTGTAAAATGGAGAAATCGGGAATGGATCAGTTTGACCGTCTGGTAGTTTTAGTGTTAACCCATTTGCGTCATAAGGAAATATGAAAAAGAAGCCCTTTACCAATTTCTTTTTTAATTTTGTTTAAGTAGAAAAATTACAACAAGTAAAAAGAACTACTACTAATCAGAATTACTACTTTCATTTTCAATAACATCCACCATTTTTATTTTCTAGCTAATTGAAAATATAACGTCACGCTTAATTTTCTTGTGATAATGACCAACAAAATTGAGCGTGATAGTGATAGCGATCAGGGAAATTCAGCGTGCGTGTGCATGTACGAGCGTGTGCGAGCGTGTGTGTGTGTGTGTGCGTGTGCGAGCGTGTGTGTGTGTGTGTGCGAGCGTGTGTATGCTAATTTTGTTTATTAATCATTTTGTATAGAGTGATATATTTCAAAACAATCTAGTACGTGTAATGCAACAAGACTATCGATGTTTACAAGGCATCGTTGGCAATTTTTTGAACAAAAATATCTCGGCGTGCATCGTTCGTCTTTACAACGCAAGAAGTAAAGCCGTTCGAAATCAGAGTCATTTTGTAAAAACAATCCTCGAAATTTCGGAAAGTTCAAGACTTTTGTTTTTTAGTCTTCTGTTGGCTTATTAACCTTTTGCTTCGAGTTTCCATATCTAGAATCGAAAACTGCAAATGGATAATTTTGTTATTCAACTAACTAGAGATTGGCATGTGGTTTTTTTTCTTTCAGTATTTAAGGCTTCCATAATTTAGAGACTGACATGTGGTTTTTTTCAGTATTTAAGACTTCCATAATTTAGTTTTTTGTGAAAAGAAATGTTGGAAGTTTGAGACAGTCTCATCCACAAAGGGTTAATAGAAAGTACTCGACTATTACAGGTTAAAACTCATTTTAAGGTCTTAGCTTCAAACCAGTATATACAATTTTTAATTTTTTTTTAGTCTTTATACACTAATTCGTTTCGAATTGGTTAAGTTTTTGATTTGTTCTACTTTAACTCTATATTCGAAATTATCTAAGTTTATTTAACTTCAATTGCTAAAATAAATATTGAAGTGAGAAAACATGTGTCAACCCCTTACCTTGTAATCCTTGACTTGCTAGGGCAGACACGTGGTGAAGGTTTTGAAATGAATTTCATAAGTATGAAATTGTTTAGTTTACACTGATCGAAGGGAAATATTATTTTGTGCCTGTGACCTTTTCCATTGTATGTATATTTACAGTGAATATATGCAGTTCCTTTTTATGCTAAGAAACCTTTGATAATAAAATAAAAAACTAACTTGAAATTAAAACGAAACAAGGCTAGAGTAGCATAAATCGCGTTGGATATTAGATTCTAATATTGCTTTCATAAAGTAACGGTTAACACATTCAATCTAGATCAAAATAGCTGAATATATACGTTTTCCTGTCGAAGGCTGACTTCCAGCAAGTATTATGTGAACTATTGCTATTCAGAATCTCATTAATTAATTATGGACTTCCATGCAAATATTATTGTTTACAGATTAAAATGAATGAAATGTGTATTTTGTCGGTAAAAAGATTTGGTAATTCAATGCTAATATAAATATTGTATTTATTTTGTTTGAAATTAACATTATTTTCCCTTACAATTCACACATCTGCATACATAACAAATGCACCAAATTCGACGTTTACTAATTAAATTTTAGTTTCTAATGAGAGTAACATGGTAAAATTACGAATTTCAATATTTGTTGTAACTGTAACCGGTTCGTTTAATGTTTAAGTACATTTTCAATGATAATTACTGGAGACAATTATGTTAACACTCTATCTGCTCATTGCCACGCGACTTTGAACGATTGTGTCAATAACATCCACGAATACGCATGTACACACTCCTTTAGTCCTTGCTACCGCAGAACTTTAACTATTCGCATAAATTAAGAAACTAGTTTGTCAGACGAAGTGTACAATACGATGAACTGTAAAATATATTGTTTAGTTATAAAGATCTATATTAACTTACAAATTAATCGGATAAATAATTCGAACGAAAATAAATTCTTTTATTCTATTTTTCTTTATACGAAATTTTATCTTGTTTTATAGATTGATTTATTCTATGCAAATGGATTTCCGATGTATTTTTCACTGTTCACGGACACTTTGTAGCCCCTTGATTATAATTTAGCAACTGATAGCCTTATCAGCATATGAAAGTGTTATTAGGAATCAATATCCGAGTAAACGGAGCATCAGTAACTTGAAAATCTCGCTAATTGGCGTTCCACTGTAACAATCAGACCGCTAACGTTTACATACTTAATCACTCATTTACAGAAGCAGGAACTAAATTCAAATTATCTGCATTTGTTAAAAAGGAAAACTGATTTGTCTTGGAGAGGTTAATTTCATGCTCTTCCTGATGAGAGTTTATAAATTAACTTGATACTAATTATTTAATATATATTATTATAGTATACTTAACCTACGTAATAATTTAATTACAGATAGATATATTTTTCGTTTCTTCTTTCAAATTTATATTCATTTAATTTAGAGAACTGTAATCCAAATAATTACAGTACTTGAATAATGTATGGGTATTGAAGAATTTGTTAAATTATTACTTATAAAATAAATAGGTTGCTCATCTTTCTAATTTTTAATTCAGCAATTTCATATACCCACAAACGTTACAAACGTATAACATTAGCGGTCCTCTAGCATAAAATATTCAATTATTCAGTGATAACGGTTCATGACATAGTAACATTTGAAAAGTGTTATTGTGTAGCATCAGCCGTTGGTTCAGTAATACGATTACCAAACGTGTTTATTGATCATATGATTCTTTCTAACTGAAACCTTCTCCAATAATTCGCTTTGGTATCGTTCGCGATTTTATTAATTTCCTTTTGAAAATTTATCACAAGAATTGCATTGTGTTAAAAATAAAACAAATTTAAAATTGTAATTTTTACATTATTTAACATTACATTACTTCCTAAAAGTAAGTAATCGAAATTCTATGTTAATAACGATGCCAGAGTAAATAAATTATTTTGCATGTATATCTTTGTTTTTATATATAAATTCATATAATTTATTTAAGAAATCAAATTAAATTAGAGGAATGTAATATTTAATTTAATAACAATACTCTATTTATGAAGCAATGGCTTTAAGATTAATGTATATAATAACTCTTGACAAGACTATAAATAAATTATAACGAAATTGAATCACAATTATATTAGAAAATATTTCTTATTATATCAAAGAATTTATAAGTTCATACCA